GGGGGCTGGGGCTTGGGGATGTGGGGCGCCCTGCTGCCTGCCCCGATTGCGCTAGGGAGACGCTGCACACGTCGGCACTGCGCGCTCTGTGGCTTGGGCCTCGAATAAGTACCCCAGGGTCTGCCTCTGCAGTTACCTTCCTTCTGCTGCCTCGCTTCCCCTGCCCGGGCCAATGAGGGAAGCACACGACAGGCAACTCTGCTGTACTGCTGTCCTTTCCCCGCCTCCTCTGCCAATACTGTATGGAAGGGAAGGCTTAGACAGTCACACAGGCCAACACTCTTGCTTTATGTGAAGGCGAGCCATGTTAACCTGGGGGAACATCCTCTTAAATTCAGATTCCTTGGGTGATTTCTGTCGGGCTTAATGCTGGGCTTTTCAACATGCCAGCTTCCTTTCTTTAATCACTTTCTTTTAAAAAGAGTAGTTGATTATATAAATAGGTACTGACAAACTTTAAATGTCTGAATACCTTTCATCTCTGTAAGACACACTTTTAAAAAAAACCAAACTAGTCACCCAGTCAGAATGGAATTGAAGTTGCATAGTGAGGATATCCCTGCTTGCATCTTTTTTCATACAGGTTCATTAAAATACCATGAAGGTGTTAGGGACAGTTCATAGTCTTCAGAACAAAAGCTTGGGGGCTTTTTTGGCTTCTTTAATTTTGAAGTGAGGAAGGCAACAATGTGGCAAACTTGAATGTTTTGGTTTTGAACTTCAGTTCTGAAGTTTGTGAAGTTTGTTAATAAGCTCAGTTTTAGCCTGGAGCAAATTTTAATGTTGGGTTCAAAGTTCTTGAAGTTTTGGGGGTGAGGTTTATCCATTGCCAACCAAATTATGGCATGATTAATTACATAATGACTTAATATTGTGGAGACAGCATAAACTTTCAACTATTGTAATATTTTTTATTTTTGAGGATTGTACATGTTAAGGAAGAGCTTAACTGTGTGTGTGTGTGTGTGTGTGTGTGTGCGCGCGCATGCGCGCAGCACAAATATGAAATTAACCAGGGTTAACAGGTGGCTAATGTAGATGGGGAGTGGGGGATGGGGACTCTCTGTGATGTAAAATCAGTTGGTATAACAAAATAGTAGTTACAATCAAAATGCCTGACTTTGCTGCTGCAGATGTTCAAATTGCCATTGACTAGTTCAGGGCTACTCAACAGGTGACCCACATGCATTTGTTTGTGGCCCGCAGTGCAGTTTGGACTTACGTGGGGCAAAACACAAGACCCACGGGTGGGATATTTTGAACATGGCCTTCATTGGGAACACACTCCACCATGGCAATTCAATATAATGGTCTTCTGTTGATATGCATTTCAACAATTAAATTCCTGAACTGTCATTGCCCATTAAAAGTGCTGTCATATGGATAGAAATCGGTTAAATAGTGCATTTTATTAATATCAGCAGAACTGACTTAAATGGGGCCTGCTTGTTGTGTAATCTTGCCTTAATCTTTGTATTTATGCTCATCAGTATCAAAGAAGCTATTGGCATATATACTTGCATGTATATGCAACTTAAGTTGCGACCCTCGCCATGTGCTATGAGTATCACTGTGGCTCCTGAAGCTTCCAAAGTCGAGTAGCCTTGGACTAGTCGGTGATGGCTACATATTCTTGACAAAAATCAAATTAAGTCCAATTTAGCTGCCCATGTCTCTGCAAGCAGGAAAAATTCCATCAGTTATTTGTTACTTATCATTTGTATTCTAATAGTGCCTAAATGTTCCAATCAGAATAAGGGCACAATTGTGCTAGGGAGTGTACAATGAATAAAACAATGTCCATGACCCAAAGTGCTTATGATCGGATTGATATTCATTTATTGTCTCTTAAACAATCAGAAAGGTGGAAAATGTACAAGGGAAACCAATAAGAGCATTCGCTGGCATAAAACAAGTAATGCTAATTTAGTGTTCATGCTTTTTTTTTTCTTTTTTTAGAAAAAATGTGGAAGACTTCACTGGTCCCAGAGAAAGAAGTGATCTAGGCTTTGTTACATTTGACATTACTGCCGATATCCTTTATATAAATACATTATTGCTTAATCTATAAACTCTATGTTGAAACTGCTTCCATACACTTTATTATTGTAATATATGAAACCAGTCCTCAACAATTTAAACCAGAAGACATTGGAAAAGTCTTCAAAACAAAAGTGTATCATTTATGGAAAACCAATGTTTGAGGAAAACCACCAATATCTCTGGAAAGCATTGTTATAAAGTAAATAGAGAAATATACTAGATGAGAAAAGACATACACCAGAACATCAGAGTTACGAACATTTCAGGAATAGAGGTTGTTCATAACTCTGAAATGTTTGTAACTTTGAACAAAATGTCATGGTTAGTTAAGTTTACAACTGAACATTAACACTATACAGCTTTGAAATTTTACTATGTAGAAGAAAAATCCTGTCTTTCTGCTTTTCTTTTTTTAAAAAGTTGCTTATGTATAATAGTACTGTACTATATTTGCTGTTTTTTGTCTCTGCTGCTGCTTACTTGTGCACTTCTTTTTTCAAATGAGGGGTGTGGTTGACTGGTCAGTTCATATCTTTGGTGTTAGTAGCTTTGAGGTTCTATTGTAGTTCTTATCAGATAACAAACTTTCCAAGCCATTTTCTGGAAATCTCATCAGCAAGGTGAAGAGTCCTCCAACCACCACCAAATATGGTCCAAGTTCAGTCCTTAGTAAACTGTGACCTTGTTTGGCCACGCATGTGTTTAGGATCCTCTGTTAGTTCCAGGTGTGAAGGCTGGCTGCACCTATATTCTGGCCAGTTTAAAATCAGTTCAGAAGGGACCGCGAGCACTGTGGCAAATAAAGCTGGGTACACTCATGGCTGGGTCAGTTAGACTAGTCTCAGATGTCAACCACAGCTTATTCTTCACACTACAATATCTCAGAGAAATGGAAGCAGGACAGAAAGGGCCACAACATTTACCTTGATGACAAGCATGTTCTTCGGTGGATGAAGTAATCTGTATCTAGTGGTAGGCTCAAGATTAGCACTTACCTCCGTCACTCTGGCTGTAGCATTATCATGATGGATGTTGGAGGAATAATATTCTTACTACAGAGAGCCATAGTAGGGGTGTGAGTCTGGTTATGTAATGCATATTTTATGAATGGATAGAGTGCCTGGCTTTTTATTTGACTGTCACCTAAATATCTATGACATGGGTTTCAGACTCATGGGTTTCTATTAGGAAAGCCTGGTTTACAAGTTAAGGACTTATAATATGCATGGGTGTCAGTGGGAGTATTTTTATTAGAAGATTGAGGGCAGAAATTGTCCTTTATTTAACTAAAATATTAAGTATGATTTGCATTTAGCATCACTCATTGGAAAAAACTTACTGAGCAGCATAGACAAGTATATCAAAACTTTTGTCGTCTGTTTTTTCTCCCCGTCTTACTTTCTTCCTTTTCTTTCTATTTTTGATCGCCAGTCTCTTATTTTTGCATTTCTTTTATTTTCCTCTTTGGTCATTTATTGGTTCATACTCTCTGTCTCCTCTATCCCCGTTTCTGGCACCTTATCCCACTCCCTTTTGCCCAGCCAATCCCATTTCTTCCTCTTTGCCAGAGCAGCTCCCTTCTGCCTTGACCCAGTCTTTTCCCCAGCTCCAGACAAGAGTTTGAATGATTCTCCATTTCCCTGGTCAGCTTCCACTTTTGCCCAGCCAGTTCTAATGTCCCCACTCTCGTTGCACAGCCAGTCCCAGTTTCTCCCTCCTCCCTGCTCAGGTTATACTAGCCTCACTAGAAACCTTGTCCCAGTCTATTCCTTTCCCTTTTCCCTGGTTTAGCTTTTGTCCCTTCTGCATTTGATCAGGTACCTCTTTGCTTGTCTTTGTACCAGCAGGAGGAGGAGTATTAAGAGCACAGGAGACGCAAATTCCCTGCTCTCAGTTCTGGTGCCTGACTAGAGCAGCTGGGAATGATCATTACAAGGGAAGTTTGGCTTTGCAACTAAAAATAGGTATTATAATTGGAATTGTCAAAGAAAGAAAATCTTTTAACTAGTATACCCTGCGCATCAGATAACAACAGATATTCTGAAATGTAGGAAAGTATAATTTATATTCTACTTGGATATAAGCTGATCTATGTTAGAATTCAGTAAAAATATTATTTAAAAATAAAATTGATATATTATTTCCTTAACTGGTTCACATCTGCAAACTATATTTGATTGGAATGTTAAACAGTTATTTCTGTATTTATCTGCAGAATATTCAACGAAAAACAATGTAAGTATGAAATACAAAATTGAAACAATTAACATTATTTAGTTTAACTGCTATTTAACATGCAGTGGTAATCCTAGGAAAGATTATGGTGCAAAAATTTTGTTATCTGGCACTCTGTTAACCAAAACATTTTGTTAACTGGCATTGCTCCCATTCACAATACCGCTGCATCTACATGCATGCATGCCTGACTCCTGCCTGTCCAGCTGGCTGTTGCGGGCTTCTGACAGCTGTTACTGCTGGCTTATGTCATCAGCTGGTGCTTCCTTCCCCCTCAGCTTGCCAGGAGCCAGATCTCCAGTAGGGGGCAAGGATAGAGCATTAATCTTTGTTATCCAGCACAGTCAGTTAACTGGCAAACCCCATTCCCCATCAGTGCCAGATAACACAGCTTTCACTGTACTTTGACTAGTTGAGATGAGTTCATTATCTGGTTTCATATTTTAGAAGTTCAGTTTATAAACAGCCAACTCTTATAAAATAGGTACATTATAATGGCATATTTGTAGGCTCTTGTTCAAATGCATCAGAAGACATTAGACAAAATTCTGAGTAACCCCAAAATCATCATTGCTGAATAAGCAGTTCAGAAGAGATGTATAAAATGTCTTTTATAAATGAGGGATGTAAAGGGTTAACTGGTTACCTAGTAAGCATCACCCGCTAAGTGCTATGTGGTGTTAACCAGTGGCCTGGCTGAGCTGGAACAGCCCCCCTTTTCCTTCTTATCTGTGAGATCTCTGTTTACCAGTTAAAGTTTAACTGGTTAACATTTTAAGAGGGATTTTACATTCCTATTGTAAATTCAAGATACCTCACTGAGGCACAATTGTTCTTTTGGAATTATACTTGAAATCTGAATACAGCAATCTTTCATAAAAACGCTGAAAAATTTGGACAAAATGATGAGCTTTGACTTCAGTACAGCTCATCTTTCAGTCCTGAGACAACGTCCAAATGCAGGTTACATTGCTTAACATCGCTTTTTCATTTGTATTGCTACTAAAAACTAGCATCTTTGGCCTTTCATACTTTTTTTTTGTTTACTGGTAAGTCTTTAAAATCTGCTGTTAAAATAAAGTTCTGTCCAATCTGCTATTGCTGTCATATCTAAATATTTTAGTGGTACGCCTTTTTTCTTCTGATAAATTGTTCTGTTATACTCGCAATCCAAAAACCTAAGTTTATGCTCTTCAGAATCAGTTTCTTGACTCAATAATGCTTTTAATTTCCAATGGTCAAATATGCTTTGTTGTGTTAACTCAGTGAATAATTGTAATTGTAGGCCCTGAACCAAGTTGTCCTTTGGGATAAGATCATTTTGAGAGGAGATAATCCAAAGCTGTTACTAAAAGACATGAAATCAAAATATTTTTTCTTTGATGATGGAAATGGTCTCAAGTGAGTAAACTTCATTTCTTTATTATGTAGCTCTTCTGTACTCTGGATATTTGTGTGTTGCTGAGGTTGGGGGTGGTAGAGAGATAAGAGGGAAGGTGAATATTTAATGGTTCATTGTTAGTTTATATCTTATAATTTCAAGACAATTACATCTTCATAAAGCAGCTGATGAAATGTGCTATGTGGCAGAGATCCAGACCTCCATGGTCTGCCCCTCTTATTCAGTGGGCTGAAAAGCAAGTAGCTGCTAAAAGTGCTTGGCTGCTAAGTTTCAGTGTATGACTGAAGTTTCATCCTGTGGCTACAGAACTAGGGTCATGTCCTGCAAAGTATGGAGACTCCTCAATTACTTTGCAGGAAAGCTATCTGAACTCTAGGGCACAGTCCATGCAATAGCTTTATGCAAATAATGTAAAGGAATGCAAACTATGTAAATTTAAAATGCCCATTTCTGGCACACAGAAAAGGTGTCATATTCAAGGTAATTTATGTCTTTATAAGTTGTGTGTATTTCTCTGATGATCCATTTTGATTTTACAGGGGAAACAGAAATGTTACTTTGACTCTCTCCTGGAATGTTGTACCAAATGCTGGCATTCTACCTCTCGTGACAGGATCAGGACATGTATCTGTTCCATTCCCAGATACTTATGAAACAGCAAAAAGTTATTAAGTTATTATGCTGAATCCTAAGCAACATATTTTTATACTTGTATATAATGAATAAATTTTATCATTTTTTTTCCTCCTATCCCCTGCAACCAGAGGTACCTGATTTCTTTGGTCTAATTGAGCAGGAAAAGAACAGCTGAAATTTAGCCCTTACAAAATTAAATAAAACATTGATGCTAAAACTTCAAGGAAAGGTAAACTGCTGGTTTAATTTTTTTGAGAAACTACCTTTTTTTCTTTTGTTGGCCATGTGGGTAGAAAAATATGTTTCTTATAAATAAACATTTAAAATCAAAACAGTTTGATTATTTTTAAATGTATATGAAAGTTCTTTATGTAATCCATCCAAAGTTCAATGCACAAATGTCAGTGTTGTAGTTAAAAATATAGTAGTATTTACATGTTCATAGGCAATGTGACTATTGTATTGTGTTTTTCAGCTGCTGCTAAATAAGCAAGTTTAGAATGCTGCATTAAGGTAGATTGTTTGCTTTCTAGTAGCATCAAAAGCATTCTGTGGAAATTGTGATTCTTTGATGGCTCATAGGTAATAATCAGGAGTATTTTGTTACTATTCCAGCTCAGATTTGATGTTGGTTGGGTGGAAATCCTTATTTGAAAGATTAATGTAACATTCATACAATTTTACAAGAATAGGTGTTTAAAAAAACCACATCTTTTAAGAGTTGTTTACAACACAGATTCTGGAGAATTCGTAAGCAGGGTAAAACAGTAAGAGAATACCTCTAGCATATAATTTTTTGCTTAGTCGTAAAAAGTTTAAGAAATGCACCAAGAGCGTGAATTTTTCTCACACTTGCACAAATAAATAGTTTTGGGTTAATTAAATGAAGAAGATAATCTCCAAGCATTTAGGATGTGTTGTGCAGTATACAAAATAATCCAAAATAAAAAAGTACTCATAGAATGCATGATTTTCTTGTAAAATATTTGGAATTTTTGACTTTCAGTATTCTAGGCAAGCAAAATTCAAATATAGTAAAACTCTGAGGATAACTAAAGTTAGACTTTCATAGGAATAGATTAAAAAAGATTGGAACTACTTAGCTAGGAGACAAAATACTCAATGAAATTAAAAAGCCTACAAATTAAAAACCTGATTGAAGGAAATACTATCTTGTACAATTCATAATAAGTCTGTGAAGTTTATTACCCCAAAAGCTGAGCAGAATTTTAAAAAGATGCAATATTTATATACATATAAAATCAAAGTCAGTTTTGTTAGTTAAAATAAAACCAAATGGAATAATTGAATTCAGCAAGAAATACTCATTTTGGTAGATTATTTCATAATTGACCTCTGTGAAATATGTTGCCTTCTCCTAAAGTATGTGAGAGCAGCAATTATCAAAAACAGAACAGTAGAATGGACATTTAGTGATCCTCTATGACAGTGGTTCTCAAACTTCATTGCATCATGACCCCCTTTTGGCAACTAAAATTACTGTGTGATCTCGGGAAGAGGGAGGGAGAAGAACAACCAACAACTGAGCCTGCCCTAGCCCTGCCACCCCAGCCAAGGGCAGGTTGGGGGAGTGAAGGCCATGGCTTTAACCCTCAAGTTTTATCTTCAACCCTGGATGGTAGGTCTAAGGCAGAGAGGTCCTGGGCCCCAGTAAATCTAATAATATTCCTTGCAATCCCATTAAAACAGGGTTCTGACCCACAGTTTGAGGAACCTCTGCTCCATGACAAATCCATGTTGATATAAGTGATTTGACTCTTTAAAAAAATTCAGACAGTTTGCACAGGATTATCTTTTCATCCCAACAGCTTGTTCTTTGTGAGGAGGCTGGATAACAGCTGTCTGCCACCATGCTGCCAGGGTGTGTAGAAAATTTTGCTCCAATACCGTGTGTCCTAGGTCATCTATGTGCAGTGGCAGTAGGGTGACCAGATGCTCTGATTATTTTAGAGACAATTCTGATATTCAGGCATTGTCTTATATTGGCATCTATTACCTCCCCATCCCCAGTCCTGATCTTTCACAGTTGCTATTTGATTACCCTAATGGCAGCTTACTGTATGTGTTTCTTTCTGGCCTTTTTCTGTTGTGCATCTCCTTCCTTTATGAGAAGGGTAGAAAGTGGATTATACCTCAATGCATACAATTAATAGCATTTAAGAGGGGCATGGATTATGTGGTTTAAAAAAAAAAAAAAGTCTGCGTAAGAATGTACATAGGCCAAGATTTTTATAAGTGCCTTGATTTTTTTGGATGCATCTATGTTTGTGTGTTCAACTTGTGGCTCTTTAAAGAGTGCTGATTTTTCAGAGGGTAAGTAAGTGCTCAGCACTTTCCATTTCCAAACTTTCCAGGCATCTCAGGTTGGGTGCTTGAAAATTCATGCTCTTGAAAAGCTTGACCATCCAACTGAAGCAGCTGCACTCAACTATAAAATGTATCTTTGTATTCATGTTTCTTTGGAGGGACTGTTAGTGAGGTTCTGCCAACTTGATTTCTCTGCGCTTAAATGTGTTTACTCTTGCCTGCTTTGCTGCAGAGAGAAAAACACCACCGTTTGTTTGGAGTACCAAAATAGAATTTTGTACTGTGGGCATTTTGAAAAATGCGTTTTAATAAACCGTTTTAAACAGTATTCCTAAGTATAAAGAATCATGCCTTGTTGATATGTTATCTTGTAATTGCCAAAATTGATAGATGTTAATGAAGTTAAAGCTGTATTGGACCAGACAGCCCGGTATTTACAGCATATGTCCGGTAAAACGAAACAGAAAATACCAGACATGTAAAACCCAACATGTTTTTTCTTGCTTTGGAAATTCTTCCCCCGGGGGGGGGGGGGGGGGAAGGGAAGAAGGGAACCTGGAAGTGTGTGGATATTTAAAGGGGCCGTGACTTTGTCTTTGTGTGTGTGTTTTGTTGATTTAAAAAAAACCAAAACTTTGGTCCCGTCTTTGTGTGTGTGTTTTGTTGATTTAAAAAAAAACAAAACTTTGGTCCCCATTTTTTTTTTTTTTTTTTTTTTTTTTTTGTGCTCAATCAATTTTTTTCCCCGCCATGTTCGGTATTTTTTGTTTGGTATTAACTAAGTTTAATATTCACACATATGAACAAAAACAATCAAATAAATAACTGCTCTATTCTCCTGGCTTTCCTCAAGGATAAACTGTTCTTTCTGTGTATTTAAGCTTCTTTCTTAGCTTCTTGTTTCAGTTTCTCTCTCGACTTGCAGGGAAGAAAATTCTTGTTGTATCTTAGATTATGATATAGTCATAATTCATAATTTTCCAAGACCTTGTCCAAGTGGTTAAGAACTTGTATTCAGGAAGCTTCACATTAGCTGTACTTTCTTCTCTGGAAAGGATCAAGGTATATTCTACTAGATCTCTTCTTTAGAATGAGTTGTTCCTCTAGAGCAGTGTTTCTCAGAGTGGTCCACAAAACCACTTGGAGAAACCTGCTAACTGGCCGCTCCAGTGTGTTTATTTTCTAGCTCCACAGCCACAGAGCCTCACAGCTCCCATTAGCTCCAGTGTACAGCTTGCAGCCAAGGGGAGTCACGGGAAACATCGTGAGCTGAGCCATGGCTTCCTACAGCTCCTCTTGGCCACACGCCGCAAACTGGAGCCAATGGGAGCCACAAAATAAAGACACTGGAGCAGTCAGGTATCCACATAGAAAGCAGGTACTACAGTGGAGACTTAGTTATAGGCTATAGAAATTCTGTACCATCAGAACATGTTGTAATAGAGAAATTAATTCGGAAACAGAATAATCCATATTCATGTGGTATTGCTTGCCTAGTATCTACTGAGGAAGAAGAAAACCCAGCAGTAAGTGGTGTTGCAACTAGGCCAGGAGAATCAACTGAACAAGTAAAAGTATAAATTACTTTCCAACTATTGAAGTTGGAACAAACAATAGAAATTACAAATTTTATCTTACATTAGATTATAATATTGTTGGGGCAGGGACTTGTCTTTGTTCTGTTTGTACAATGCCCAGCACAATGAGATCCTCATTTCTGACTAGTGTCTAGGCATAAAAGTAATACACATAAGAGACATTAAAAAAGACTGTCACAGTGGCAACTTGGTATACTCTCACTCTTACGTTGAATGTACTGACCATTCGTCACCATTCCATTTGATTTTCTCCAAAAGTAGTATTAGCCTAGAGACTTGAAGGCAAAGTTTGGAGAAAAAAAATCTAAGTAATTTATGAGCCTTAAATCACTTTTTTGAAAATTTTACCTGTGTGTCTTTCTCCATTTGCCCTCCAAGAACCTGCTTTCTCTGTTCAGGTCCTATCTTGATACACATTTCTTTCATAAAGCCTTCTATTGGTCAGGTACTGAAATGGCTTTTACCCACAAAAGCTCATGATCCTATTTATTTTTGTTAGTCTCGAAAGTGCCAAAGAACTATTCATTGTTTTTAAAGAAGGGGGAGTGATGGAAAATACACAGCTTGTGAGGCTTGATGATCTTTTGCATTTAAAATAATTTGCAAGTCTAAGTCGTATGTCTAATATACAATGTGAATTTTGGGGGGGAAGATACCAGATCTTCCTTTGTTTTATAGACTGAATGGTGTGTCATCAGTTACAGATTTAAACAAGTCAGAAGTTGCTTATAACTGACAGATTGGGGACAGATCTATCTCTGTCAGCTCTACATCAGTTCCGGAAACTACTTCACAGCCTTTGCTTTGTATTGTAACCATCATGGGGGGTGATGTTTTGGGAGTGAAAGCATCTATTTTGAGGCCATGCTTTGACCGTCAGAGAAGATGTGACTTGGCAATCAACACCGAGTTACTTCTCCCTGCTGGAACAATGACTTTACATACTTCTCTCCATTCAGTTTTCAGAATGGAGAGAGGTAACTATTGTTGTCCCCCGGGGTTTGTACTGGGACCAATCCTATTCAGCATATTCATAAATGATTTGAAGAAAGGGATAATCTGTGAGGTGGCAACATTTGCAGATAATACAAAATTGCTTAAAATAGTTAAATCCACAACGGAGTGGGAAGAGCTTCAAAAGGATCTCACAAGACTGGGTGCCTGGGCAAGAACATGGCAGATGAAATTCAACATTGATAGATGCAAAATAATGCTTATAAAATATAATCCCAACTATATGTATAAAATGATGGTGTTTAAATTAGCTGTTACAACTCAAAAGGAAAATCTTGGCATTGCGGATAGATTTCTGAAAACATCCATTCAATCTGAAGTAACAGTCAAAAAAGCAAACAGAATATTAGGAATCATTAAGAAAGAGCTACATAACAAGACATATTGCCTCTTTATAAAGTCATGGTATGCCCATATCTTGAATACTGTAGACACGTGACTGTCACATCTCAAAAAAAAGACTGGAATTGGAAAAGGTTTAGAAAAGGGCAACAAACGATAGGAGTATGGAAAGGCTGCCCGATGAGAGATTAATAAGATTGGAATTTTTCAGTTTAGAAGGTAAGTAAGGAAAAAACGTTATTTGCTCCCTCCCATAACATGAGAACTAAGAATCAGCAATGAAATTAATAGGCAACAGGTTTAAAACAAACCAAAAGGAAGTATTTCTTAACATAATGCACAATCAACCTTTAGAACTCCCTGCCAGAGGATGTTGTGAAGGCACTTTAATGGTTTTTTAAAAAAAAAACTAAATAAATACATAGACGTCAAAATCGGTGGGAAAGGCTGAACTTGGACTCTCCCACCCACAACACAGTCAAATGGGGGACATGATTTAAAAAAAATAGATTTTCTATATTTCAAGTTCCCAAGACAGAATTGGAGATGGGACCTGTTGTAGGATACTTACTGGAGGTGGGTGACTGTGTTGCTCCCTGTCACAGTGACAGAGTGGCTGATGGAAGCCCAAGACTCAGCAATGGCTGTCACCCTCTTCCTGTGGGATTCTCTCCCTAATACTGTAGGCTGGGTGTGTAGGATTTGGCAGCTATGTCTGCAGGTGAATAGACTAAGTGGGAAGCAGACAATCAGCTATTTTATAAATTACATGTTTGAAATATATGCCAGGAAGGGGTAAAAGCTCAAAAAAGCCTATGTCCTAGAAAACAAGGTGTGACTGACTGCTGGCTAAGCCAGTTCTGCCACTATTGCAGGGGTGGGCAAAAGGGCCTCTGCAGGCTGGATGGTTCCTGCCACTCCCTTGTTCCCAGGCCAATTAGAGCCTGGGAGTGGGGAGAGGAGGAAGCACATGAAGTTCTCTCTGCCCTGCCCCCGCCCTGCCCATGCAATTGGTGCCCTTGAAAGTAAGGGTGTTAAGTATTGGGTAACTGACTAATCAAATAGTCGATGCATTCGATTAGTCAATAGGGAACCTTTGCCTTTGAACACTCCAGCTGGCCATGTACAGCCTGGGAACACCCCAGCTGGCCCCGGACTTCACGCTGCTTTTCAAAGTACCCCCCTCCTTACTGCCTCTGTCTGATAAGTATCAGAGGGGTAGCCATGTTAGTCTGAATCTGCAAAATCGATGAGTCCTGTGGCACCTTATAGATGCCATCATGTACCCCTCTGCTAGATACATCGGCCAAACTAGACAGTCCTTATGTAAAAAAATAAATGGACACAAATCAGATATCAGGATTGGTAATATATAAAAATCTGTAGGAGAACACGTCAATCTCCCTGAACACACAGTAGCCGATTTAAAGATAGCTATCCTGCAGCAAAGAAACTTCAAGAACAGACTTCAAAGAAAAACTGCTAAGCTACAGTTCATCTGCAAATTTGATACCATCAGTTTAGGATTAAACAAAGAGGCTGCGCAAGCATTTGCGCAAGAGGGCTTTTGCCCGAACGGGAGCAGCATAGTATTTCCGCAAGAACACTGACAATCTTACATGAGATTGTCAATGGTCTTGCAGAAATTCAAGCGGCCAGTGTAGACAGCTGGCAAGTTTTTCTACAAAAGCAGCTGCTTTTGCGGAAAAACTTGCCAGTCTAGATGCAGCCACAGTCTATAAGGGGCCACAGGACTTTTATCTGATAAGTATTTGCTTATCAGATAGTCAACTAGTCCTTCACATCCCTTCTGGAAAGGCTGAACCACTTTTGCAGGGTTTAAAGTGGCTGGAGTATCGGTCCCATTGCCTAAAGAAGGTGTCTGCATCTGCATGTGTCTGGGAGATCCAGAGCAAGCAACAATGACTGGCCACTAACTAGACCAGGGTACTTACAAAAACACGGGGCCCAGGATATGGGACAGTTTACAATAGACTTTGCCCAGTGGTAGGACTGGGCCCAATTGTAATACCATCCATAACACTTTCTATTGATGTGCTTATAACCATCTGTAATGCAAACAGCTCATAGCTATACTGCTGAATATTCATTCATGAACCTTTTATAATAAATGGAACTTTAATATGAAGTGTGAATAAATTAGGGAATAATTAGGGAATAATTTTTTAATAATTAGGAAATAACTTGGTAACTAAATGCTTCTGCAATTAAATCCTTACACTAATGTCATATTGTAAATATAAGTAGTATTCTGCTCTTCTTCATTTTGTACAGTGCACATGTGTTCTCAATTTGTCAGCTGCATGTTACTTTTTAGTGAGGTTGGCATACTCAATTTTTATAACACAAATAC